TTTTTTTCCAATTTGATGTTCCTCTCCCTCTGTGAAGCTTAAAGGGCTAATGATAACTATCATAAAGCCTGCCATTATACCGACACCTATATAATTAGGAAACTGGCGTTAGAAAATTTTATATTTTGTTTCCAGATGATACGAGGGCGAAGCGTAGAATTTTCGGACTTGATCAGAGAAAAAGGGGAAGAAAGCTTGCTCAAAAACTGTCGAAGGGAAGTGGATATGCAATTAGAATATCAAGCACGGACCTAAAATTTATAGACGAAATACAGCGTGTACAGAGATTGCATTAAGAAACAGGGAGAAAGACGCAAAAGGGAGGTACGCATATCCGAAAAGACTAAACGCGTGGTCACCTCTAACTGAGATTGTAATGAGATAGCAACAGGAGGAGGTGGTGGAGGCAAGGAGAAAGTTCGGGCCTTCAAATTGTGTGGAGGAATCTATGGCGAAAGAGGGAGGGTGGAGATAAATAGTCACAAGAGATCGTCATAATAAGGAGGGGGGGGGGAGGGGGGTTGTTAGAGAAAGGAACTTAGTGAATGAGAACCGAGGGTGGGGGGGGGGGGGGAGGAGCGAGAGAGGATGGAGTAAAAAGACAGAAGGAAAGCAGGAGAGAGTAGTGGAATGTAAAGAGGAAGTTTACAGAATACTGCATCTCTTCTTGCGTTGTCCACTTTTTTTAGGTTGGACACCTGGGTGTTGGTTTCGTTGGGACACTTTCAAGGAGTAAACCTGTTGGGCGAGTGTAAGGAAGGCCTATAATTGAAAGAAACGGCCATATGAGAGATAGTCTACCACTGACTGAGAGTGAAGTGATCTAAGCGTAAAATTTCGGAATATTCGTGATGTTTCAAATCCCGCAACATCACCACAGATTCTATTAAAGAGCACTTTGAGTGCACTATTGTAATTACGCCCAATCAAGTTCATTTGATGTGTATCGCCGCAAATATTACAGTTACAAAAAGTGAGAAATGTCAAGCAAGAAGATTACTTCCTTGAAAATAAAGCTGACAACTCGAATTTTTTAAAAAAAGTGGATGGTTGTGTCATTTCAATGGAGCGTTTAGCCGATCCAAGAATATATATATATATATATATATTTACACCTTCGGCATCAAACACATTCAGCGTAGAAGCCCTGAAAGAGGCCATTGTTTTCCAAGCAATAAAACACTTACTCTAAATTCCTGAAAGTATTGAGGAAGTAAGTGCTTTTTAAAGTGGTCACCAGACCATGAATTCCTAGTTGCAAATAATTGTATTTGGCTTCACCAGTGTTTTCCATTTTTCTCTCACCATCATCAACAACATCAACAATCAATCCACAACTCAACTCTCATGGGACCATGAGAGTAGTGTGGGGAAGTGTTTGTGTGTGTGAGCATGTGTGCGTGTTTATGGATTAAGAGAGAGGGAGAGAGAGAGAGGGCAAAAAAACACGAATTGTACTGCCCTACAATGTGCCCTACAAGGGAGATTTCGCTTTCTTCGCCAAAGTGCAAAACTCA